TTTCTGCATACTATTGGGTTCAAACAGGGTTTAGTCTTTTTTAAAAAAAATCAAAATACAAATATACAAAGATAAACCAAGCCACTTTCTTATGTAGCTGGCTTTTAAATTTTTTTCCTAGTTTTTTTTCTGTGTTTAAACACTTATTGATTCGAAGTGGGGATGTCTGGCTTATAGGTAATGCCCACTGTAACACAAAAAAAATATGATGAGATCATTTAGAATTGTAAAACTTGAATATCTATTTAAATGTCTAAGCTTAACCTGAAGTTAGACTAGAATTAGTCTCTCGGTTCCCAGACACTGCTGTTGTTCATGTCTTAATAGGAATATAGGAATGTTGAAAATATTTCTAGCCACTCATCCATCCTAAGGACCTTTCTTATTTTTAAAATTTTCTTGGTCTTAAAAAAATCTTTCTTCATTTCACACCTTGCTTTTGTCCATTCTGCTTTATATCTGAGACTATCTCAGCACAGAAAAGAGCCCTCCTGTCTTAATATCAGGTTGATTCTAAGTTCCACTCCCTGTGAAGGTTCACAAGTCACAGAATCTCCCATGGAGTGGGAGACCGGTGAAACAGCTAAATAGAAGTGTCACTGTGGAGACCTCCAAATACAGTAGGTCATTGCTGGGCATTGTTGGAATGCAGTAGAGTTACATTTGAGTGTCTGTTCAGTACTGCAGTCTTGCTGGACCCTTCACCACCAGGTGCCTTGCTGTGGTCTTCACAAACGATAAAACTGATTCAAAATTGTAAACGGTCACATTTCTAGTGTTCAGCTCTTCTAAAACTCATCCTTCCCACTTGTGGGGAATGATCCTTTATACATTGCCAACCGCAAAGTTGTTTATCATCCACATCAATGACTTGAGATACAGACCAGATTAAAAGTGTGGGGAACATGAAATATTCTAAGACATGAGGGCAGAGAAATGGGGGTCTCCTGCCACTAACACTCAAAGACTTTGGGCCCCCGAAAAATCCACAAGGTTTGGGGATCGCAATAATTCAAATGTATTCTTAATTGTCAAATGAAAGCTCTACCAGAGATGGTTTGGAAGCTTTACCATGCTTCTGAGGCTTGATGGTAACAGGGAAACAAACTGCACACAGAACACCAATGCTTCTCACCTCCCCATCCCCTCCCCACTGTCTCTCTTCTTCCTCCTCCCCCCCCCGCCTCCCTCCTTTTACCCCTCTCTTTATTCCTTCCTTTCAAAAACTGGTAGTGAATTCCTCTAATATAGTCACAATAACCATAGTCACCATTTCTAACCCAAGAGAGATGTTCACAAGATAAATTTCCTTTTTAATTTCTTTAAAAATATGGAGTATACTCCCAAGCTTAAAGTACCCAGTACTTCCTAAAGAAAGAAGTGCACCTGCTATTTAGCACCCCACCACATTTTCCCAAACTTTTTTCTAAACATCTAAAATTGAGGACACAATTCTGAATTATGCACTTTACAAAGGCATAAAGTATAATGGAGTCCACAGAGGAAGAAAGCACCCTGAATAGGCCGTGCTATGAGGGATGTGGATACTTGTCTGAAATTTTAGTTTTCACAAGCGCAGAAAGCCTACTGGTTTACCCTGCTGCCCTCTATAAAAGCCAAAAACACTAGTTATGTCTCAGTTATACATGTATATGGAATATAGAACCAAAACCGATCCCAACAAAGGCAAGGCAAACATTCGCTTTTACAGTATTGTATATGATGATGCTTTTAAACATGTACCCTCCATGCTTTGTACTCTTGATGTTTTGTTTACCTTCTTTGAAATTCAGGCAATGCCCCAAAGAGCATTGAAGACACACACACACACACACACACACACACACACACACACACACACACACACACACTCGGTTAAAACCACAATTTCCCAGTATCTGAAAATCCTGGAGCTACTCTGGTTTACAAACTAAAACCCCAGCTTGTTTTGCAGCCTTTGTGAAGTTTGATCAGTGTGATTCAGTAATGTGGGTTTTCAAGGACAATCAAGCCTCCCAGATAGAGGCCACACAGTGCAGCCAGCATGTTTTTCTAGATGTCATCTCAGAAGAGGGTTTCAACTTACACGGGACACCAGCCTCTATGACCAGGGAGCAAGTTTACTTTTAACAAGTCAAAGTGATAATCATGGTCTTGTGCCCTTTCGCTAATGGTATGAATTTTATTTCTCAATGGGCTTTTTGTAAATGGGATACTCATTTAAAAGTTATCGTATTTGCAAGGGTTCTTCTCTCCTCTCTCTTTGAGAGATCTGTTTTCTCTGACTTTAAAATGCAGGGAAGCCTTTTCAGAAAACTCCTTCTCTCCAGTAGATTTCAGATACACCCAGGTCATATCATAGCTCCTAGGATGTAAGAATTATACAGAAATTCTGGCAGAGCATTGTTACCTTCAAGGTTAATAGCAACCTCCCTTCCACCAAGGACCACCCAGCTCCCATGAGAAAGGATGTCTGTGTTTCATGCTCCCGTAATTCATTACTGGGTAAACTCTGTGCAATCCTATAGTTACTTCCAATGCTGCCCTCTCCCAGGGGGCTGTGAACCTTTACAACTGTATACCAGTCAGGCATTTCTTTAAAGTTGTCTTCTAGAGGAGATGGTTGAGTATACTGGAATACTTTTGCCTTGACTCAACTGTCTTGGATAAACTTGAAGGGAAACTTTACTTCTAAACCTTCTATCCTATTAAGTATAAAAAGACATTGTGAACATCTTGGTTAGGGTGGGCACATCCAAGTACCTTGATGTCCCCTCAAAGGAGAACTTGTCTCCACTTTATGCAGGAAATCAAAACGAGGCTTCCAGGAACCTGTGCCTAGTCATAAAGCTAGACTGAGAAGGGCCTTGAACCCAGATTTTCTGAAGTATGACATCTTCATCCCTCCAGGGGACAACTGAGAAAGGCTGTGTGGTTTTTCTGGGCGTCCCCAGCTTGCACTTACCTCACAACCCATGCTCTTGTGACTAAAGGTGAGGTAGTTCACTAAGTCTGACCATAAAGAAATCCTTGGTTGACCTGGAACAAAGCTGGAAACACTGACAGCTAAAGATCCTCATAGCTGCTGGGCGTTGGTGGCGTACACCTTTAATCCCAGCACTCGGGAGGCAGAGGCAGGCGGATCTCTGTGAGTTCGAGGCCAGCCTGGTCTACAAAGTGAGTTCCAGGACAGCCTCCAAAGCTACAGAGAAACCCTGTCTCAAAAAACAAAAAAACAAAAAACAAAAAAAAAAAGATCCTCATAGCTACTGAATTTCTTTTCATTCTCAGAAGTGAGCCAAGTCTGTGGCTCTGTTACCAGAGCAGTCTCAAGCATGGGGAAGAGGCTAGCAAAAGTCTTAGAAGCCAAACAGAGTTGGGTTCAAATCTCAGGCCCATAAATTACCTGCGTGATATGACCCAACTCATCTATGATTTGGTTGCTCATCTGCAAAGTAAATGATATCACGATGTCCCTGTTACAAGCCTGCTGTGAGGATTAAAGTAACACACCACCTAACTTAGAACAGTGAATTTTAAGTGCTTAATAAATTGGAGATAACTTTATAATTGTATAGAACTTCTGACAGTTGTGAATCTGGATTAACCTATGGCTGGATAGCAATGCCAGGTATCTATCTGCAGATTTTCTATCAACTATCAAACTGTCACCTCTGTCAGTCTGTCTGACTTTCAGTCTGACTTTCTGTCCATCCATCCATCCATCCATCCATCCATCCATCCATCCATCCATCCATCCATCCATCCATCTTGTCATATATATTCATCTGCTTTTATTAGGTAAGTTGGCACTACAGGCTCTTAATATCTCATTTTAGTATCACTGTACCAAGCCCCACTGGGCTGTTAACCTCAGGACACAAAACTAAATTATAAAACAAGTTGTCCTGACTCTGACTACATTTTTGCATGTGGGGGTCTTGAGATGATTCTTATACACAAAGCAGTAAGTTCTCAGCTTTATTCAGAAAAGCCTAAACATGTGCTTTTTATAGAAGGTAGGTGTGTGTGTGTGTGTGTGTGTGTATTGACATGCTTAGGGAATGGAGTAAGGGTAACTAAAGCTAATTATGAATGTTAAGATTAGAACTGAAATAGAAATAGCTGATATCAGAAAAATCTGCAGTATCACAGTGAAACAAACTGTAAAGAACAGGAAAGTTGTGCCAGACTCATGTTGAACGTGGAATTAGTGTTAAAAATGCCCATTTTAGTTTAATAATTTTGTATAGTTATGGTTTAAATATCTGGGACAAATATTGGTGATTTTTGCTGGTGTTTTCTAAAAATATCATCTGTCGTCTATCTATCTATCTATCTATCTATCTATCTATCTATCTATCTCTATCATCTCCCTCTTCTCTCTCTCCCTCTGTCACTATATCTGCCTTAGGTAACTGATTAACAGGTGATTGTTTTAGGCAAAGAACAGGAAATTAGCCGTGAGGAAGTTTGTCGATGTTCATTGTTTCATATTAAAGTGTTTCTGTATTATCTCTCACATTCAGACCTGCTTTCCATAGTAGTGTAGGGACAACTGTTTTATTATTAACTTTAGAAAGTTAATATGCCCATATTAATATTTGTAACTACTTATAACTGGAAAGAGAATCTTGACCATTGAAAGAAGGGTCATGCTGTTATATTAATTTGCATAAACTATGGGGTGTGGGAATATTTCCTTGCCATGATCAGAAACAAAGGCAAAGTGGGCTTCACAAAAGTGTATTCATGCACTTCGGAGGAGATCACCCCATGGGAGTCTTTTATGGTGAGAGGTTGCGTAGATACCTCTTTACATCATGCAGCGAACAGCGAGGAAAACGCATACACTAAGAAGCACAGACCATGAAGTATACACGAGGATCATACCTCATCTTCAGTCCAGAACATTCTAACTGGAAACATAGCCCTTGGACCAGCTCATGTGAAAATCCTCAGGTGGGAGATTACATGATGTCCTTTCTTATTCTTTTCAGAAAGCAGAGGCCATTGGAGAAAAACGGCCAAGAGGCAGGCCTAGGAAATGGGTGAGTAACAAGCTATAATTTCCATTCTTAAGAGGAAAATAATGTCTTTTTTAAAACTTAAAATTAAAAATGAAAGCATTTCATGGATGATGTGAATTGGTAACTTCTGGCGTGATGAATCTTTGGAAGACTGAGGCACATGACCTATGATCATTGCTTACCATTTAGCTCCAGAACTCACTGCCTCTGTTCCCTGAAGGTGACGTCTTCCTTCTGTATCTTTCCACACCAAAGGAGTCTCCCCAATTCCTGCAAAGGGCAACAGGGGAAGATTTGATTACAGGTTGAGTAACTAGAGTTAAAGGATCACAATGGTGAAACAATTCAGATGAAATGTGAATGAGATAACTTTTTTCTTCCTTTAGATCTTTTCCTCTTTGTGGTTTCCTCTCTGGCTTTCCTTTTGGGCCAGTCTTATTTTCTGGGCGCTGTGCACGCTCTTCTTCACACTGGTTTCTTCAGGAAACAGGTGTAATTTCCAGTGGTCCCAGCAAGCCTCAATTACTATTGTGCATATGGACAACAGAGGCATTGGTGCCTGGCGCATGACCCACATTCTCGAGAAGGCCTCTCCCACCGATTTCTCCACGGTAAAGGAAGCTCTTTCTCAGGAAGGAGGCAGCCTTGTCTGGCCCCAGCCTGTCCGTCACTCCTTTACCTCTCCTCCCACAAAGCACGTCTCCGCTTTGTTCCCGCTCCCTCTGCCTTTCAGCGTTTCTTTCCTGCTCCTCTGGGTTGGATTTCCCCTGTTGGTTTTCTGTCCCTTTCTCCTCAAGTTCTGCATCACTTTCTATTTATCCTTGGGTGTTGCCTTTCATGTAATTTATTCATGTTGTATTTTTCTCCCTCTCTGCTCCACATGTGTTAGGATTAGATTTCTTAGCACAAGGAAATGGGGATGATCTTTAGATTAAAAACATCTTAGTGTTGCAGCGGAACCTTAGTGTAAAGGCGTTTTATGGAGCCCGTTTTCCGATAAGTGAATTCTCTCCCAACCTTATCTACATAGCCGTCCGCCAGTCTACTCCCGATTACCTTAAACAAAGGGTTCACACCACCCCCTAGGCCACCTCTTGCTTCCTCAGATGCTCAGGATTTAGAAAATCTTTGACTCTACTGTGGAAACAACCCCCACCTCTCTGCCTTCCTCCTGAAATATATATTCTTTTTTCACATCCACAGTAGGTCTTCAAATATTGGAGGACAACTGTCTCCAACCCTTTTACCCCCACCTCATCCTGCATAAAGAAAATTCTTGCTCTTTGTTTCTGAATACAGTTTTTAAAATATTCTGAAGTGTGTTCCCCAGAACTAAGGATCGTATTCCAGGTGTGGGTTCTATAAGCAGTGGGTTTGTTACCTCTCTTGTACAAATGGTTGTCCGTTGCTGTGAAATCAGTTTTCCAGGAATACAACATTATGAATAAATGACTATTTTATTATGCTATACCTGTTCTTTGGGTCAAGAGTATGGACAGGGCAGAGCAGAAAGTCTCTGCTAAGAGGACTCCCAGCATTTAGCCACACCTAAAATTCGGGGCCTGGAATTTGAAGGCTTCTTAACTTCAGGTCTTTGACTGGCTGAAAGTCTGGTCATGGCTATCAGTGTGTCTGGACAGCTCACACTGTAATTGGATGGTCTCGGCCTTCTTATCTGCACTCATGGGTCAGTACCTGGAAGGAAACCACAAACTTACTTCCAGACATCAAAAAGTTGCACTGTTGTTCCACTCCAGTGAGCACAGTGCTGACTAAGCTTTGAGAGCACATAGACTAAATACAGGTCTGCTAAGAATCCAATCTCCAAAAGGGTACCCCATCTCATTGATGAATCAACAAGAAAGACCTGCATACTTTTTCTAATAGGCAACGGAATAGTCAATAGGTGAGATCTTTGAAGTCATAGGATTAGCAGGACTAAAATGAAATAGGTGGTAATGAGTTGCAGAGAAAATCAACCATGAAAATACCTCCCACCAAGTAAATCTCTGCTCTCCATACCTCATGCCTTTGAGGTACCCTCTGATGCAATGGTTCTCAATCTCCCTAACGCTGCAACCCTTTAATACAGTCCCTCATATTGTGGTGACCCCCAACCATAAAATTATTTCGTTACCACTTTATCAACTGTAATTTGCTACTGTTATAAATCATAATGGAGCCGGGGGTTGGTGGCGCACGCCTTTAATCCCGGCACTCGGGAGGCGGAGGCAGGCAGATCTCTGTTAGTTCGAGGCCGGGCTGGACCGACAGCCTCCAAAACAATACAGAGAAACCCTGTCTCGTAAAAACCAAAAATTAAAAAATAAAAAATAAAATAAATCATAATGGAGATGTCTGATATGGAGGATATCTGATATGTGACCCTTAAAGGGGTCGCGACCCGCAGGCTGAGAACTGCTGCTCTATTGTCCTTGAGTCAACCTCCATACATCTTAGCTCCCACAGCTGTTTCTACCAAATACAGAGCACTTCAAGTGTTGCACAATTTTTTTCTTAGGGGTTCTTGTTTATTGGAGGGTACCTGGATTCTGAACATATCATCTTCATGTTGGGAAAGAGTGCTTAGTAATTATCAACCATAGAGACACTGGCTTCCTGGGAACAGCTGTGTGACCCTCACTGACTCACCTGGCTTCTAATTTTTATTGGCTGTGAGAATGGAATGTTCTATGTGATGCATTGCAGCAAGCCCCCAGTTTGGTCTCCAAAGAAGAGCAGCTCTACTCAGGAGAGGGAATAAAAGGAAATGGTATATTTTTCCTAGACAAAGTGTTTCCTCTTGGCTTGCATATCTTCTCTTGGTGACCGTGCTGGTAGCTCCAGCAAGGCACTCTGTTCAGCAGCATTATTTGCTGAGGAGTCTATGTGGAGTGAATTGCTGCATTCTCCATAGGAAGTGGGCTTGCACTTTAGGATAAGTATGATTCTTTCCAACAATTACATCCACTGATTTCGTTGAGTTGTAGATATATTTTTGAACTGACTGGATTGACTTGGTATTTGGATTAGAGGCCAGATTGTTCTCTTTATTCTTGTAGGCTGTTTCGTTTTAAAGTTCTGTATGTATATAGATATATATCCTATAAATAAGAAATAAATTTATTTAAGCATGAAGATACTTGCCTCAAAGGAGATTCAAGGCTTCATTCTTTTCCAGTGTAATTTACCCCTACTCAAGACAGATTGCCCTGCATATCACAGCTTCATACAAAAAAAGTTACAAAATTGTCTTTGGTTTCAGAATGATAAGTGAAAAGCATTGAACAAGGTATACAGGGAGTGCATGCCATTGAACTTTTTAATTAAATCAATGAGAGCAAAATAACGTACTGGGTTTTTAAGATAAGAGCTGAGTGAACATGCACTAGGGGAGAAAGGGGGTATTTCCACAGACCCAAGGCTTCTCTGAGACCAGCTCTATCAGATGCTGACCAAAATAGAACATCAGTCATTTAGTTAGGGAAAGGAGAGAGAGGGGGGGGTAGGGGAGAGAGGAGGAGGAGGAGAGAGAGAGAGGAGGAAGAGAGAGAGAGGAGGAAGAGAGGGAGAGAGAGAGAAGAGGAAGAACAATATGTTTCTGTCTAATAAAGGAGTGGGGGAGGGGAAAGGAAAGAGTAGAGACAGCTAGAATGCAGTAGAACCAAGCTAAGGCGTTCTAATTGAGAATGTATTCAACAAAATCCTGGGGTAAAGCGTCAGGCTCCCCTTTAGTAGACACCTCCTGTCCTGCTGGAACACACCAATCATATTTTGATCCTCCATTTCCAACTGTACAGGTGTCTGTGCCATCGACTGTTGCTCATGGGACTGGAATCTCTTCTGCCTCCTTGACAAACCTGTCACTCACACTAGGCTTTCATTAGTTTACTAGTGGTGTTTGCTTCTTCATCTTAAACAGTACCACAGAACCGCCCTGCCCACCACCTTCAGTTTGATGTGACTGTTTTCCTCAGTCTTGACTCTTTCCTGGAGTTTCTCATCAATTGTGGCAAGTATTGGAGTGTCCTCCGCTGCCACTCAAGTATACACTCTGTCCTATTAATCTTACAGACCCATATAACTGGCCTGGAAAAGAGTGTTTTATGTACCTGGGGTCAATAGTGAGATATTTAATCAAGAGTTAGTTCAGCAAAAATATGTAGATCTGAAGAGCACCTGGCACCAGTCCTGCCCCTTAGAAAGGATAGGGGATCTGTGGGTCCAGTGACCCTGTGAGCGTGTAACTAGACAGGGTTAGGAATACTTCTACTCCACTGCCGCCTTTGGTCTCTTCTTTCCTCTGGTTTGATTACATTTCAGATTATTACGTTGATAGGAGTTTTCTGCATTTTCAGTCTCTGTCTGTGCATGTCAGAGGTGAGAGGTAAAGGAAGGAGAAATTAGGGGGCCTAAATTTCTTTGACAATTAAGAGCCAAGGGTCAAGATTCATGTGGTTTGGGTTCAGGTTTTGACCCATCCCCATCTTGAACAAATGACATGATTGTCATGATTGTCCCAAGGCCCCATTTCTCATCTGGAAAAGGTGTATGTTAAATGAAGAAATCTGTGCAATGACTCAAAAACAAAAAGACACACAAAAAAACCCCCACAAAATCCTGCTAACACGTAATGATTGGTAACTGTCATCGTGGAGCATATGCATTCCCCTTAATGTCAACTATAGCCCCCACTTTAATTGTCCATAGCTACCAGTAATTACACATGAAGTAAAGTGAGAATCACAGACCATACCAACCACATTCTCTTGGTGGTACCATGTTTTCAATGTGTGTCTTAGTTAGGGTTTTTACTGCTGTGAAGGGACACCATGACCACGGCAACTCTTATTAAAGAAAAACATTTAATTAGGGGGGCTCAGTTCATTATCATCACAGCAGGGAGCAGGATGGTATTCAGACAGACATGGTGCTGGAGAAGTAGCTGAGAGTCCTACATCTTGCAGGCAACGGGAAGTCAACTGATACACTGGGTGGTATCCTGAGCATAGGAAACCTCA